TGTTTTTCCATGCAGAACTAGGCCTATGAGCAGCAGTAGTGGGACTTCTTTTGCCAAAGGCCCAAATTCCACATGGTCCGTGACCATTAACCCACCCAGGCTGACTCAGACCCCGCACGCCCCCAACCACTCAGCATGGTGACAGCCTCGACTTCACAACCAGCTGTTTGGTCTTTGGGTGGGCGACCTGTAGAAACATCTAAATGGTTTGTTATACCTGAATCTTTTGGGCATTTAAGCCACAAAGTGGCTCTAGATTGAGCTCTTAAACTAAATGGCTGACAATAGACCCACCACTTCATTAATAACACATGCAACCGCTATATTATTGGTAAATATTGTGACAACTAGATAGAGTGTGATGAACCCATATTTTTTCATTCACTCACTGCTTTGTTTTTTGGGTTAGGGTTGGGAATAGGCATACATCTGATTGCCAAATATAGCATTGGCATGTAGAGTTTGTCCGGAGTTCACTGTAACGCCTTGCAGCATCACAATGCTGATACATTCTTGATATTTTATACAGCCCTACCTATAAAGTATTTGAGAATTCTCTAAAAGTTTCTGAAAGTTGTATTTCTAGAATTGTGTTCACATGTAGCATGGCATGCCGTCCTGTACATTTGAATATTTAGTCTGGCCGTGACCCATAGAGATAGCTTAATTGTGGGGCAGAATCTACGGTTATCTTGTTAACGGTCTCTGCATGCTGTTGGTTAACGAACAACATGACGTACTCTCCGCTACAGATGTCATTCAACAGGGCAGCGCACCATACACTGTTAAAGGAGACCCAAATACATCATTTTTCCTGAATAACGGACTTAAAGCTGCATTCTGGAGTTTTCCCCTTTCAGAAATGAATGATTTTTCAGAAATCCGTAAAAGTGATTATCTCATCATGTACTGTGATAAAATGTAAGCAATACGTCTTTTTTATTTTTGCTAAGCACACCCCCTGCCACGCAGAGCTCCATTCAATAGGGAACTGAGCGCCGACCAGAGCTAACCAATAGCGTTAGATCACCGCTTATGTGCTTCAAATTTAAGGAATACCTCGATTGATGCAGAGTTGATGAACTTTTCACGGACAAGTAAGTGTCTAAAATATAAATATATGAAAACACAACATGACATGAGAATAATACTCGTAAAACTGCGTGTTTTAGCTCCGTTTGTCAGCTAAGAAGCACATTTATAAACAGAAACGTGAAGTCGCGATCTTAAACAAACAAAGGAATAGACATTTTGTGTGATATGCTTGTCAGCCACTAGATGGTGCCATCAGATAAGAGAAATACTCTGGAATGAAGCTTTAAGTACCTCTATCTGCTCTTGACTCAAAAAAAAAAGCCAAACCCTAAATAGCTACGCAATGCCATTTCAAACAAGCCAATCCAATCATTCACATCATCCCGCCCATCAACCAGAGAGAGTACTGTTGTCGGCATAGCACAATACTGCTCAGGCCATTGGTAGACCTGCTGAGACTCCTATGGAGTGCAGCTAGACCGACATGCCCTGCAAACTAAATTTGATTTGGCGACTGTACGTCTAGACTTCTAGGATAGTTCACTTGTAATCCAGCTCAAGATTGGTTGTTGTCAAAAATAACAGCAGATATTGCAGGGGTCCTCAATTATAATGGTCTGAGGGCCACTCCAAAAAAATAAATACCCAGAGGCAAGAGGTCCAGACCCACAAGCCGCCTATTGAGGACCACTGGTCTATGGTATAATGTAATGTTGTGTTTTGTGGCATATATCACCCCAGTACGTTTAAACCAAGTCAGGGCTGGGCGATAGGGCCTTAAATCATTGTCGCGGTATATTGAGGAGTTCACCTCGGTAACAGTAAAAGGATGATATCTACGTGTAGATGGGGATGTCACTTGCATTGTGTTGAGTCATGTTAAGTGGTACAGCTTTTTAAAAGAGCCATAAACATTGCCAACCTACACACCTTTTTTTATGACCAAATTTATTAACATGGGGAAAACGATATTGATATAGTTAGTCAGAAATTTCAATAACGATCAATTTTCGATTAATCGCCCAGCCCTAGACCAAGTGAAAGGTCCCATGTCTGCATTGCGTAATGCAGCTTTACATGTTTTCCTACTTCAGGTCAGTAGGCTAAAGCATAGCAATGCCTTTTTTTTCCCCCTTGGTATGCACTTAATGAGGTTTTTGAACTCTCATTATACCCAACTCCCCCCTTATTTCAAATCACACACTCTGGAGCTTTTCAGCCCCACGCTGAAGCGTGTGCCAGCCCACTATTGTCTGATGGCGTGGAGACATGCAGTTGCCTGCTGTCTGGTCTCCTGGAAGCCAGCAGCAGCGTCAGTACCACACTGACACACAGGGAGGGGTGGAATACGTGTGGCTAGGGCTGCTCAATTAATCGAATTTTAATCACGATTACGATCTGAGTTTTGAACGATTATAAAAAACAAAACAAGCCGATTATTTGCTCCTCCCGCTTGCGCTGCCCTGAGTTGCAAATGAAGCGCTCCTCCACAGTGTTGCCAACTTAGCGACTTTGACGCTATTTCTAACAGCTTTTCAGACCCCCTTCTTGACTTTTTAATCCTAAAAGTACCTAGCGAACACCTCAGAAACATCTCTGGTAACCCTTAGCTACTTTCTGGATAACTATCGTCGACGTTTCCTGCAGGTTAGCTAAACACTCCGCCTGCACTCCGGACCGTTCTTCAGGACATTAGGAAAGGGAATGGTGCAGTGATGTGTCGGTCGCTAAAGACAGCTCTCGGAGCCGGCTCCCTGTTGGATTAACCAGAGTGAGTGACACACACACCGCACCTGCGGACTCCTGAGCCGCTAAAAACAGCTAAATGTGCGCGTGCGGCGCGCTAAACACACGTGCCCTGATTGCTGTGAGACCGGGTTGGGGGGTGGGGGGTGCAGCTGTGGTTGGGACAATTATTACATTAACTGATGGACTTGTAAATAAATAGTTTGTAAATAAGGTAGAAATAACTTCCTCACGCTGATAAATAATAACTAATCTCTCTGAGGACATGGTGCTAGTGCACTCTCCTACAGCACCTTGACACAACTCAATAAATGTTATGCAACATTTTGTGAACATCAATTTATTTGCATTTATTTGTTATAAATGCCACTGTATAATTCTTGCTGTCAGTATTTGCAAGATATTGGTATTTGGTTCTGTACTGGTTAGACTTAAATGAGTTAAACCAAGGTCTACAGCCCTTGGGTCATAGACTATGAGCTATAAGTATATTGGTCTTTTATACAGGGAATCAGGAGTTCTTTTAGTGATCATCTTGTTTCTTATTTTTGTCCTGATTGTGCCCTGAGCAATTTTATGACTGAATAAAAACAAATAAAATCAACATAAATTGAAAAATCGTCCTAAATAATCGTGATCTCAATTTCAGTCACCATAATCGTGATTATTACTTTTGCCATAATTGAGCAGCCCTACGTGTGGCAAAGGTCAGCGTTTGTCATCTCTTGCAAGAAGAGTGTGTGTGTGTGTGTGTGTGTGTGTGTGTGTGTGTGTGTGTGTGTGTGTGTGTGTGTGTGTGTGCGTGCGTGCCTGCGTGCGTGCTTGTGTGTGCGTGTTGGTAAAGAAGTCCACTCCTAAGTGACTATTATGGAAGCCTGGAAGGTCAAAGCGAGGCGGGCTGTGTCTGGAGGAATGCAACCTGGGGTAGAGGGAGGCACACTGTTTACATGCCTTTCACATTAGACATCAGGGGTTTTCAAGTGGGCTGCAGTAAAACTGGTGATGTCATTGTTTTTGAGGGAAGAGGGGGTGCAAGTTAAGCGTTATCTCCAGAGGTATTTATATGTCCACCTTACTGGAAAGGCTTGAAAATGGGCCTAACCAGCAGCTGGTAAAAAGTCTGTATCTGAACTCAGAAGTTAATCATCATTCACTAGAAACGTGTGTGTTGTGTGTTTGAAACTCACTCAACCCAACTCTACTTTCTCGGTCTAGTTCCTGGTAGTAGAACCTGCATGGCGGCGTAGTTGGTTAGCAGTGCAGCGAAAAGGTCACAGGTTCAAATCCCGTCTGCGCCGTCTTTCTGTTTGGATGTTTTCGCATGCATCCGACTACTGCGGCTTCCTCCCGCAGAGCAAGATCGTGCACGTCAGGCTGATTGGAAACTAAAACTGTCCTCTAGGTGTGAGTGACTGAATGTGTATGAGTGGTGGTGCGTCTCTGTGACGGACTGGAGACCCTGTCCAGGGTGTCACCTGCCTCTTGTCGGATGACCACTGGAGACAGACACCAGCTCCCAGTGAGCCTAGTGGGGGACGGAGTGGTTGAGATGATGAATGGGTAGTAAACCCTGGTTGTCACCCCCTACCTGGGCAGAGGAAACACCTTTGCCCCCAAACACAAAACTGTCCCTAAGTGACAAATGGAACAAATTCACACAAACACATTAAAGTTAAGTTCTGTGATGACAACTGGCTCAGACCCTGACCAAATCTGGCGAACTTTACAGAACCAGGAGAGGTCTAACCACCATGGAAGCATGCAGACACAGCAGAACGACTCACAGCAGTTTGGTGGATCTGAAAACGGATTTACAAGCACTCTGTTTTATTTAAAACACCCTGCTTCTGACTGATGTGGTTTGCTGCTCAAGTTCTTTACACTTGCACAACTTCACACGAAAACAGACTATCTTTAAAAGTTTAAGTTTAAAATGCGGACCAGAGCAGACCCAGTTTTCTTTCTCTTTTGACTCGCAGCTATATAAAGTGGAAGTGTTCCTCTCGGAAATCGTTAAAGTGACAGCCACCATCGTTCATTTCTCCCCATTTCGCTCTGAAATCTTTCACCAGCCCCTCGGTGAGCACTCGCAGGCCCCAGTAAAGTCGAGAAGAGCCCAGAAACACGTCCTTTACCCTGGCCTCCTTCTCTGGTGCGTGATGGCCGTGAGTGTTTTCAGATAAGCAGATAAATAAAAAGAAGCGCTGACGCGGACTGACCTGAATAAACTGGATCGTCAGGGCTGATTTTCCGACTCCTCCGCCTCCAACCACGACCAGACGGTACTTCTCCTGCACCGAGCCGTCCTTCCAGCCTGCCATTGAGGACACTTCACGCCGCCGCTGCCGAAACACCAGTGAGCAGCAAACACCCACTTTTCCCCCTCCTTGTAAAAACTGAAGAGGAGGCCCTGCGGTGGAGACACCGGAACGCAGAGAAGAAGCGACGGGCGTGTGAGCCGAAACGACTCGTCCGGTACGTGCTCGAATCAAGAGGGAGGAGGAGGATGCTGGAAAACTGCGGCCGCCTGACCGAGTTCCGGCCTCTACAACACTGCGCCGTCCAAGATGTGGATCAGATAGAGCGAGTAATCTGCAAGCCACTGCTAATGTCTGGCGCAAGGGGCCCTTCCAAAGGCGGTCTGCCTGCCCCTCTTCTCTATGGACACACACACACACACACACACACACACACACACACACACACACACACACACACACACACACACACACACACACACACTGACACACACACACACACACACACACACACACACACACACACACACACACACACACACACACACACACATTCCTGTCACTAAATCTTTAACCTCACTCACATGTTTTGCATTCATAACTACAATTATGCCCAAAATGTACCCCCCCCCCCCCCCCAATAGCCTACATTTTCTTCTTAAGAAAATCCCCATGTCTAAAAAGCTGCGCTGCACATGGTTAATATTTAGTTAACATTTAGTTAACATTTAGTTCTGTGATCAGCCGATCAGCATAAAACTTTCTGCAATTAATAACTGATCTCCAGCAAGGTACTTTTTACTTCCAAAGTACAAACTTTCAATTCAATAAAAAGAAAATTAGTTGAGATAAATAAGAATCTTTATCAGCAGGTCAGAGATGTGCAAGAACAGGACATCAGTATTGGCCTGTGAAACCAGAATGGGTGCATTTCTATTAACATAATAATGCATGCTAGATATTAGTTTTTAAATCTAAGGAATTATTTACTCAGTGTACAGTTGTTGTTTATTTTTGAAAAGTATGCATTTATATCTGTCTCAACAAAGCTGAAATGAAAAAATGACCTGGTTTTGTTTTATTGACAGTTACAAGTTTTGTGTTGAGTGTAGAAGAGAGAACAGAAACCCATTTACCTGATATTAAGGACCGAGTTGGATAAAAGGACTGATTGCATGTCATCATGTAGCATGAGGTTATAAATTATGTTCAATTTTACTGATGAGCGCCACCCAGTGGACCAAAGGTACACGAGAAAAATGAAGGTTTTAATTTTTGATTTCCATCTTTATTATGCAATTATTTTACCTATACATCAGGAATGGACATACTGTATCTTCACACAGCATCTTAACTAGTGTGTTTAAATTCAAATAGCTACTGTAAAAATAAAAAAAAATCAAACAAAAAAACAAGCATTCAAAATAATTAAAAACAAACTTAGGCACAGAAGCAAGTTTAGCAAAGTATGATCTAACAAATTTATGGCTTCCTTAGTATTACAAATAATTATACAAACAGAAGAAGACATTAAATTAAACAGGCCCTTCACTCTTATATAGATTTGCAGTGGTCTCTAGTGGGAAGGAATGCCTTGTGAGTTGTTCTCTGGGGGGGGGGGGGGGGGGGTGGGAGAAGAAGCTCTGGTGCGCCTGTTTCAGCACAGAATTCAGCCAGAGGAGAAAGTAGCTTCAGATCACGGATTTGGTGTATTACTTGCTGATATTTGGAGATCTTGCCTCTGATTGACTAACAGCAACACAACTCTATCACTGTTTGCTCTGTGATGTTGATGTTTTATCTCCACAAATAACACCTAAAGGAGTTCTCCCATGTGGTGAAGTTGCTAAAGCTAACGGTTAGCTTCTCCTAGCCGACACGGACACGGTCTCTGCTGTTTCCTGGACGCTAAACACACAGCCTTCCCCATCGCGAGTAAAGATGGGCAAGCCCATGAATGTTAACTGACGGTGTGATGTAGATCTGTTGGGATTTTCTAATCCTAGATTTTCACCATCCATTTTCTACCAGAAGCTAATGCAGGAGATAGGTGTAGGAGACTATTTTCATGTTCAGCCTGCATAACCCTACCGTGTTCAGTGCTGAAAGGGCTTTTACATCAATTTTGGACTATTTGGACTTGGGCTTTACTAGAATCAGGAGCAGATAGGCCGACTTCTGTTGCGGTGAGTACGCCACGTTGTTCGTTGTCCAGTAGCATGTGGAGATCGTTTGAAAGACAACAGCAGAACCCGCTCCACAACTGAGAACCGTCAATGGAGCGTTGCCAGGCTAGCCGCAGCAAGCCCTCTGTTCAGTTTTGGATTAATTTGTAGTGTTTGTTTGTTTTTCTCAACCCACCTGCATTCCTAATGGTGTCCAGTGGACCCCAGGTGTTTTTGATAATTGAGGAGTGAGCACCACCTCACCCCTGCCATGTGGACCCCAAGGGATCAACCATCAACCCTGCTCAAACGTCCCTTCCTGGAGGGGGTCACCCGATAGGATGATGGGAGGTTGAAGACCAGTAATTTTCAAAAATCTGTTTAAAAATAGTTCTGTTAAGGACCTATTTAAGTTATAAGGATTAAGAGGTGAGAGTATTAACTATAAAAATAAACCAAGGCCCTATCCTTACAGCAGCTTTCTGATTGCCACGCTTTACCCTCACCGACTTCTACTCTGAATCAACAGACCACACATTTTACACAGTAGATGGACGGCTGCCGACAGCCCGTTGTTTATTTACACAGCTGAAGTTCTAACCCTTGCTGCCCTTATCTAATGCCCCGAGTGGGGGAGGGTGGGGCCGATCCCCTAGATATTGTAAATGTACGACTAAGGTTGTGACCCTTCAGATCGGCCAGTTCCCAGAAACGTTCCTTTACCCATAAATTATAAACAGGCAGCAAGTAGAACATTCACACCTGTTCTAATACAACTCCAGCTCATTATCAAGGGTGAACTTGCTGATCACTTGAATAATAAATCATCACAATGAGAGTTTAGTGGATGTTTTGGAATCAGTTTAGGATGGACAGAACAGACTCCAATCAGTCTCATGCTGTGTGAGGTATCACAAGAGGAATGTGAGGAATTCTAATTAGTACCTGGAGATATGGAGCTAGACTCAGAGTCCCCTTCACTTAAAGGGCCACAGCAACAAAATCCTTAGGATTTTTATAAAGAGCTTAACACAATTACTAAACCAGAGGCAGTTTCCGTTTTAATACACGTGTTTATTGAAAATTAAGATGAACAGAGCGAGAAGACTGCAGAAATGTAGCATTTAGGAATAAGGAGATGTACAAAAAACAAAACAAAAATACAATACCAGATGGGACAAAAGAAGAAGTAGCTGTTTTAATTGTGATGATGAGGAGATAGGTGACAACAGAACAGCAGCTGTTTCAGAAATTTGACTTCTTCTGGGAGAGGTTGATCTTGTCACCCAGGCTCAGAGCCATTCCCTGCAACAAATGCGATCAAATTAGATCTAATGTTAGCTTTTCATGTTTTTCCTGTGAGCTATCCGATAACTATGTTGCAGAGATGCATTTGCTGTGCTGCCTATATTCAGGACAAATTAATTCAGGCCAGCCTTTAGAAGCAGCAGCAGCAGCTGTGACCCACCTGACTTTTGGCTCTGATGCGTATGTGTCCGGTGACAGGTGCGTCGGGCCCCAGGTGGATGGGTTTCTCAATGCTGACATTAGCCAGGGCATCTTCTCCGAAGATCGAACGGGCGTAAAGGTTGGCAGCCATGAAGCCGCAGAAGCCGGAGAGCGCCTGGATAGTGAGAAGAAAAATGGGAAAGGACTTGGTTACAATACTGCTTCATAAAAATATATTCACCTGAAAAAGATAAAGATACTGGGAACGTAGTGTTTTATCATTCAGCTAAAATAAAATGCACCTTTTCAGGAGTCAAACACTTCATGTTAGTGGACTTGAGGATGTGCTGAAGGTACTCATTCAGATCAATGATGTTGGTGTTCACGGTTACCTGTAATAAAAAAACAAAAACATTTTTATTCAAGGTTGTTTTTTTCTTACATCTTCTTGCAGAAATGTTTTTCACAGACTTTTAAAGCAGAAATCCAGAGTTTTGTCAGATGGCACCATCTAGAGGTGGAAAACATATTGAACATTAAGCCCCTCCCCCTGCATCATGATTACGGCTGGAAGCACAGTCTCCCATTCGTGAACGTGCACGTCATACCTTCTAACAGAGATAAAAAAAAACCCATCGTTTTACAATTATTATCCTCATTCAACACATATAGATACACGTGCTGGCCACTTTATTGGATACATCTTCCTAGTTTTGGGTTGGACCCCCTTTTGCCTTTAGATCTGCCTTAATCCATCGTGGCATGAATTCAACAAGGTACTGCAAACATCCTCAGAGATTTTGGTCCATACTGACATGGCAGCATCACACAGTTGTTGCAGATTTGTCAGCTGCACATCCATGATGCGAATCACCCGTTCCACCACATTCCAAAGCTGCTCTTTTGAATTGAGATCTGGTGACTGTAGAGGTCATGTGAATAAAGTGAACTAATTATCAAGTTCAAAAAAACAGTCTGAGTTGACTCAATTTTATGATATGGGGCATTATCCTGCTGGACGTAGCCATTAGAAGATGGGTACACTGTGGTCATACAGGGATGGACACGGTCAGCAACAATACTCAGGTAGGCTGTGGCATTGCAACGATGACGACAGTTAGTACTAAGGGACACAAAGTGTACCAAGAAAATGTCCCCCACACCACTACAACACCTCCAGCAGCCTGAACTATTGATACAAGGCAGGATGGATCGATGCTTTCATGTTGTTGACACCTAATTCTGACCCTACCATCCGAATGTTGCAGCAGAAATCGAGACTCAGACCAGGCAACATTTTTCCAATCTTGTCCAATTATGGTGAGCCTGTGTGAATTGTAGCCTCAGTTTCCTGTTCTTAGCTGACTGAAGTGGCACCTGGTGTGGTCTTCTGCTGCTGTAGCCCATCTGCCTCAAGGTTTGACATGTTGTGTGTTCAGCGATGCTCTTCTGCATACCTTGGTTGTAACGAGTGGTTATTTGAGTTACTGTTGTTTTATATCAGCTCGAACCAGTCAGGCACTTCTCCTCTAGAATCAACAAGTCATGTTCACCCACAGAACCTGGATGTTTTCCCTTTTCGGACCATTCTCTGTAAACCGTAGAGATGGTTGTGCGTGACAATCCCAGAAGATCAGCAGTTTCTGAAATACTCAGACCAGCCCATCTGACACCAACAACCATGCCGCATTCAAAGTCACTTAAATCACCTTTCTTCCTCGTTCTGAAGCTCGGTTTGAACTGCAGCGAATCGTCTTGACCATGTCAACATGCCTAAATGCACCGAGCTGCCACCATGTGATAGCTGATTAGTAATTTGCATTAACGAGCAGTTGGACTGGTGTGGTGTAACCCAGTTGTTAAATGCTGGGTCCGGGTCTGGTCTCCTTTTTCTGCCAGTCTCTAATAAATTAGCCGGTACGTCTTTGACATTGCTGGTCACGTGGCTGGATCTGAGCCAATCAGTAGGATTAATAGCTGACAGCCAGACGCTGTCAGTAAGCACGAGGAGACACAGAGAAAGGAGTTGCTACAGATCGGTGTATTGTTATATTTTCCGTCTTCACGTCGTTCCGAGTAGTGAAACTGTTGACTGTTTGTTTAAGGAGCCAACTACTGTTACTTAGACACATAGGAAAGAGCGTGGAGATGTTTTTAAAATGACGGAAATAGTGAGTTGTTTGTCATTAGCGTCTCCCATTGATTTACATAGGCTTCTTCCAGCTCTTGGAGAGTAGACGCTTTTTTCTCCTCTCCCTCCCTGCTCCTCCCAAGGCTCTCTGTCCTGTCTGCCTGTGCACTGCGCTTCTCTGCATTTTTTTCTGGAAACTGGAAATTATTAAACATGGATCTGGTCAGTTGGTCTCTCAATGCAATTGGCAAAATCTTTTCAATGATGAGAACAGGAGAAGGGGCTCCTGGATGCCCCTCTGGGACAGTGCCAGCTGGGTATATCTTGGACTCCTGGAAACAGTGGAACTTGATCTGCCTGTCTCAACTGTCTGTAGAGGATTCCTAAGATGGTTGGATATTTGTTTTTTTTGGTGTCGGACTTCCTGCTGTTTGGCCTGAGCAGTTACCTGGCATACCGGAAAATTAATGAGCATTCGAGGAACATTGGCTTAATCCCGGAGTTCAGGGATGGAATGCATCGTGCTGTAAACTCACAAACTCATATAATTGTCGAGATGAGTCGTAAGCTTGGAACTTTGGCTGAGACTCAGGCTCTGGCACAGAAGGTTGATTCGATCAAGGAGAGAGTTGACGGATCAGCACGGATTGGAATAATTTGATAATGCCATTATTGGACCTGGAGGGGTTGAAGACCGACAGAACTCTAAGGCAGAGAGGAAATGATCTCTGCCTGTACCCAAAACAATTCTTGTTATCTGAATCTGGTGCCCTTGAAGCCTGTGAGGCTGAAGGGAAAACTCCCCTCAGAAGAAATGTGGAATGCTGCTGTCACTTTGGAAACTCTTTCTCCATTTCCCAGCCTGGGCGGGACTGTGACCGGTGAAGGCCGTGGAACCGTATCTAGGATTCAATGTGCTCTCTAACCCATTATCTCCCTCCCCTGTCCAAACGGAGGTGATGAGTGCTGCTGTTGCGGCTGCACGCTCTGAAGTGAGGAGAGTCCAAACCCTACCTCCCCACCTAGTGGACACTTATGTTGTGTGTTGTATGGAGTATAATCAGACTTGTTAATGTATGGAATTAAGTCTGGATTTTGTCTCATTATGTGAAATCAATTCTAGGCTCTACAAGATGTATCCGTGTGTGTGTGAAACCAAGCTAAAGGCCTGTTACCTTCTCTTATGTTTGTGTGTGTGTGTCCAGGCAGTAGCCGCCTGAACTGTGATGTCTTAAATTAGTGATGTGCCTTCCCTCTGCTGATATGGTTAAACGATTCATGTTGTGGATATAACATATTTTGACCTGAACAGATGTTGGGAATAAGCATGTATGTTATCTTTTATCCTCTGTGGAGTTGGTCAAGATGCTATAACCATATAAATAAGACATTTTGTCCAGCTAATGCTGGAGATGACCATTTGATCCTGGGCAGAAGAAAAGGGAGGGGTAACCACACGTCTCCCTCTGCTGACCAATGGCTACGAGAGGAGGTGATGTAGTCCCAAAGGAGGAGAGGAAAGCCTGCAGGAGGCGCCGAGAAGAAGAAACAAGTGAACGGATGAAGACTGGGAGAAGAAAATGTGACATCATGACATCCAAGATTTATGGTCTCTTCGGGGCCGTTGGAGAAGTAACAAGAAGAGGAGGAACACGTGACCAGGAAGTCTGAAGTCTGAAGCAGCAAACAAAGAAATGACTGTGAGGGAGGGGGGACTGAGTAAATACAAGGAAGATATTGGGCAAGAGTTGAGCTTGATGGGATGAGTGAGAGTCAGTCAGTCATGGACTGAGCTTTTTGGACAAAGGCTTTTGAGAGTTTTTAAGAGAGTTGGCCTTTGATGGGAAGAGTGTGTGAGGTACAGAGATGGAAAGAAGGAAGCTTTTGCTTTGAGCTTTTTTTCTGTGATAATCTGACCTAGTGTCATTTTTGGAGAGCTTATTCAGCTCAACTTTGCTATAACTCGGTTTATTGGCAACGAGTTGTTTCACTTTTTAACCCGCTTTGTCGGGGTTTCGTTTGGATTATTATTCTTTTTTCATCTTTGTGAAATAAAACCTAGTTCCTCGAATTCAAGGAATGAAAAAAGGATTTATGAGTGGGGTCTCCTCCTGTCGGTAACCGAGCAAAGGTGAGATGCTGGTTGTAAATGCCATCCCAAGGTGTAATTGATATGTGTTTCCTCCATCCTAGGCTACAGGTAAAGTCAGTTGTCTCCGCAGCATAAAAGGAACAGCTGGCAAGAGTCTTAACCTGAAGTGTACATAAGCTTCATGGACATGGATTGTGAGTAAACTGAGTCTCCCTTGAGCTGCATAAAGTTGGTTTTGCCAGAATCAGAATCTAGGTTAGCAGTGATTGCTAATCAGCTCCTACAAGAGTGAGGGCATTTTAAAGAGTGGCTGGTGTCACGCCCACGCAAATAGAAATGCAAGTCAACCCTGAGACGTAACATCTGTTGAAGAGTTAGGCTAGCTTGGGAAGATGGCTTATAACATTGTGTATCGTCCAAAGTCTGTGTGCATATCTGTCTGAGGTGTTTTTTTTTTGCATAGCAAAGCTATCCTCTCTGTCGGGGGTAACTCTGAAGTGCCTTTTTTCCCCTCCCCCTGACTATCCTCATAATGTGACACCCACCCTGGCAGATCTGCACTGGTTACCGGTCGCTTTTAGAGTGTGTTTTAAAATTCTTTTATTGGTTTTTAAGGCATTGAATGGGATGGCACCAGAATATTTATCTGACTTGTTACAGCCATATATACCTAGTCGTTCGCTCCGCTCAGAGAGTCACCATATGCTTCTAGTCCCTGCAACTAGGCTCAAAACAAGTGGAGACAGGGCATTTTCGGTAGCAGGCCCGAAATTATGGAATGATCTTCCATTATCTGGGCGACTCTCCACATCAGTAGAGGTTTTTAAGAAGGCGCTGAAGACCCATTATTATAATCTGGCTTTAAAATCTGTGTGTTAACTGATGTTTTGTATTTTGCTGTTTTTTATTTTTTTTATTTGGTTTCCTATATATTCTTTGTTTTTATCTTTTTCAGTTTAGTCTTGTTCAGCACCTTGGTGACATAATATATGTCTGTAAAGTGCTTTTATAAATAAAGGTGATGATGATGATGATATAAACCCTCTTGATCTATAACGGTAGCGCGACTCGTGTTGCAAATGAGCACAGTCACCAATTCTTGTCATGTGTCTATGTATGTATGTTTGATCTTGGAATTGTGTACTGAAACAGTTGAATTTCCCTCAGGGATTAATAAAGTATTTTTGAATTTGAATTGATTAGCTTAGACTTTCAGTACTGATGCATTTTGGCTGATTAGCCTGTGTTATTGTGATTTCCCTAAAACCTCTTAAGTAACTAAAGGCAAATACTTTTTTAATTGTGTGTTGAGTGTGGTTGATTTTCTAGTTGTTAAACTGAGTATCATGGCAAAAAATTTGTGTTTATTCTGTAGTGAGTTATTATGTACGGTGCTATTTAAAGTGCAAGTACGGTAATGCCTAAATTAACTTTTTTGCTGATAACCTGTATAGACAAGTGTCTAATGGCGCTGTACAGTGTAATCATTAGTGTGGCAGTTTAGTGCAACTTACTTTAAATTGAACATTTCAGCCCCAAACCATAATTCTATCTCCATCTTCAGGTTAAAACTCTGCTCCACATTTATGTAGAATCAGCTGTGGTTGATGACTATGCCGAAAAACGTGATGTTGTCGGCAAATGACTACATGGCTGCACTGCACTGGTCTCCAGGTGAGGCAGCCGCACCTCCACCTGGCTCAGCCACCCACCTGCCGATATGACACATTAGCCCTCAGAGCCGCTCGCCTCCTTGAAAAAAATGCCCTCCTCCCCTTTTCATCTAATGATCGCGTTTAACAGGAAATCCTCCAGAATGCTGCAGAATCTGTGTCCGCTTTTCTCCTGAGCAGTAAGTCTTGTGTGAGTATGTGCTTGCGTCCACACGCTCGTTAACAAATCGTTCTTAGACTTGTAAACTATGACAGCACACGTGGGGGTGGGGGGTCTACCACTGCCTCAGTGCCGCTTTCTTGGTCTGCCAGGCGACGCCTCTTTCAGAAGTGTTTTCCTAACAGGAAGTGTGGATGAAATACATCTCCACCCACACCTCGACTCTCACTTTAAAATATTAATACACTTTAAATGCTCTTTGATTGTGCTTTGGATGTTAATGATGAACTCATTGTTATCTGAATGACTTATTTGGGTACATTTAATCAATCCAATGTGATAATAACTGAGAGTTGCACAATTTTTATGTTTTATTTTTGGATGACGTATTGTACAATATATGGAACAATTCTGAGCTCATTTGGATGATGATGATGATATGTTAGTGCACTATGACCTCTTTACCACCTGGTCCTGTTCTTTCAGACCAGGTCTTTTCTCTTTGAATGGCGAGCTACCCACTAGACTTTAGGCCGCAAGCCTAGAAGCCCTGAATCAAGCCAGGAGGTTTGAATCGGACCCTTTCCATCACTGTTGGGCTGGTAGGAGGCTCCTGTAGCCACCGTCATTAAACAGCGGGCCGCGATTACCCCAATCACTTCCTTCACAATCCCCCCCTCAAGGACACTGGACTCACTCTTTAGGATCAATTTCATTGGTCCTTGAGTCTGCTGGAGTTTTAAGTTGCCGTCAACCATGTGCTACAAGATTAATGGAATTCTATTGATAATTGATATGAATGTAGTTTGATATCTGCAAATGGTCATTCCTTGATATTTGTTGTATGAATTGTTATTATTTGTTATATTATATTCCATACTGGTACCAACATCCTCATCTCATCCTGCCTCTGTCACTTACTCATGTGAGCTGATCCTAACTTCTGATCTGATTTACATCTGGTCCTGATGGATCACGTAGTCACACAATTACTGATATACTTGTTGCAGTACCCTATAAAGTAGCCAGTGGCACACACACTTAAGACTTACAGACTCTGCATCAGTCTAGATACTCGAGGAAACGTGTGCACACGCAGTGACATCTGTGCATAAGCAGATGTCCAACGCTAACAGCTAACGCTGAGCGCCACTTGATTGAATTTGCATGAGCCTCTGTGGGACGGAGGGTGGGCTTAGCCAGAAAAAGAAGAACTACTTTAGATCACAGAACGACGAAAGACGATCACCTTTACGGATTTCTTAAAAAAAAAATAAAATAAAAATTAAAAAAAAAAATAAATAAAAAAATAAAAATTCATGAAAGGGCGCTGTTTTGAAGCAAGATGGATGATTTGTAGCAAAATTGAAAAGCTAAAGTGACCTTGTTTTCCCACTCAAACTCTGCCCACATCTGTCTGAATTCGGCGTCTGTGCAGGAGGCTGGCTGGATGTAGTCCATGATGTCAATGTGGATGTCGCTGAGGACAACACAGTTCCTGTCGCTAGCAGCTCCAGACACGTCATAGACTAGAGGAAGAAATCAATTTGATTACAAAAATATAAATAAAATGATTTGAATTATGCTGATAAGACAAATTAATAACTATATTACCGATGTTGCCAAATATGATGCCATTCTCAGTAGAAGCCACCTTGACATTAGCTTTGATGTTTGCAAAGTCATGAGGGGCCAGAGTTAGGGGAGAAGGCTTTTCAACTAACTTGAGGTCCCCTGCAGAGCAGAAAAGCTCTGTTTAGTGAGAGAGCAACACAAATGAGAGAAATGAAGGTGGAAAATAAACTCACCCAAAGTGGCCAGCTCCAGGGTGCAGTTCTGCAGCGTATCACTAGTCTGGTTGACCACCAGCACGTCCAGCACAATGTCATACTGGTTCACATGAACGTAGGCTTCAGCGTACACTGGGTCTGAGAATCCTGTCAGCTGGGTCACCTGGTTTTCAAACAATGTTAAGTTTACATGTCACCAGGCATGTTTCAAAGGCTAAACATTTGTAAGAGCCCTGAAGTAGCAAAGAAGAATGAAAATGATCTTTTAGCTATCAGGCTCCTCTCTTGTGGAACCAGCTCCCAGCTTTAGTCCGTGAGGCAGTCACTTTGTCTACTTTTAAGAATAGGCTTAAAACATTTTTATTTGATAGGGCCTATGGTTAAAATCTGATGTTAGCCCAGATCTGGACAAGTGGGGGAGTAGAGGGAGGTGGAGTGTACAGTCGGTAAAGACCGCTCTCCCTTGCCCTGCCTCCAACATGCCTCCATCTAAAAGGCTAGGTTATCCAGAGTTATCTCTGTAGTTATGCTGCTATAGGCTTAGACTGCTGGAGGACATACTGACCACTTTCCACACTCTACTACTTCAACAATCTGCTCTTTAACTGTGCCACTTGATTGAATTTGCATGAGCCTATGGGACGGAGGATGTTGTGGGGCTGTGTTGGCTGACGCGGCTCTGCAATATTGCATGGACGTCAGGGGCAGTCCCACTGGACTGGCAGACCGGGGTGGTGGTCCCCTTATTTAAAAAGGGGGACCGCAGGGTGTGTTCCAACTAAAGGGGGATCACACTCCTGAGCCTTTCTGGTAAGGCCTATTCACGGGTTCTTGAGAGGAGGGACATCGGATTGTTGAACCTCAGATTCAGGAGGAGCAATGTGGTTTTCGTCCTGGCCGTGGAACACGGGACCAGCTCTATACCCTTAGGGGGATCCTGGAGGGTGTGTGGGAATTTGCCCAACCAGTCTACATGTGTTTTGTGGATTTGGAGAAGGCGTTTGACGGTGTCCCTTGGGGGGCCCTGTGGGGGGTACTCCGGGAGTATGGAGTACCAGGCCCTCTGATACAGGCTGTTAGGTCCCTGTATGACCGGTGTCAGAGCTTGGTCCGCATTGCCGGCAGTAAGTCGGGCTCGTTCCCAGTGAGAGTTGGACTCCGCCAAGGCTGCCCTTTGTCACCGATTCTGTTCATAACCTTTATGGACAGGATTTCTAGGTGCAGCCAAGGTGTGGAGGGCATCAGTTTTGGTGGCCTGAGGATCAGGTCTCTGCTTTTTGCAGATGATGTGGTCCTGTTGGCTTCATCAGAATGTGATCTTCAGCTTTCGCTGGAGCGGTTTGCAGCCGAGTGTGAAGCAGCTGGGATGAGAATCAGCTCCTCTAATTCTGAGACCATGGTCTTGATTCAGAAAAGGGTAGAATGCCTTCTCTGGGTCAGAGATGAGGTCCTGCCCCAAGTGGAGGAGTTGAAGTATCTCGGGGTCTTGTTCTCGAGTGAGGGAAAATTGGAGCGTGAGATTGATAGGCGGATTGGTGTTGCATCTGCAGTGATGCGGGCGTTGTACCGGTCTGTCGTGGTGAAGAGAGAGCTGAGTCAGAAGGCAAAGCTCTCGATTTACCGGTCGATCTACATTCCTACCCTCACCTATGGTCACGAGTTTTGGGTAGTGACCGAAAAAACGAGATCGCGGATACAAGCGGCCGAAATGAGTTTTCTCCAAAGAGTGGCTGGGCTCTCCCTTAGAGATAGGGTGAGAAGCTCGGTCATGCGGGAGGGGCTCGGAGTAGACCCGCTGCTCCTCCACATCGAGAGGAGTCAGTTGAGGTGGCTTGGGCATCTGGTCAGGATGCCTCTTGGACGCCTCCCTGGTGAGGTTTTCCGGGCACGTCCAACCGGGAGGAGGCCTAAAGGTAGACCCAGAACACGGTGGAGGGACTATGCCTCTCACCTGGCCAGAGAACGCCTTGGGATTTTCCCGGAGGAGCTGGCCCAAGTGGCTGGGGAGAGGGAAGTCTGGGCCTCTCGCCTTAGGCTACTGCCCCCGCGACCCGACTCCGGATAAGCGGATGAAAATGGATGGATGGACTGTATTATTTCCTGCTATTTCAGCTGTTAACTTTATTTTTTCTGCTCTCTCTTCTCGATCCCCAGTGAGTCGTGGTGGACGGCTGCTTGTACTGAGCCAGGATACTCTGGAGGTTTCTTCCTGTTAAAAGGGAGTTTTCCTCTCCACTGTCGCTACATGCTTGCTTAGTATGAGGATTGCTGTAGACTCTGACACAAGACAGTGACTCGATGCGACCTGCTGAGTTCCTTATAGAGGAAACTTTTTAATGATTTGCTTAATTAACTAAACTGTTCAACTGAACTGAACTGAGAGAGAGACAGAGAGAAAGAAAGAAAGAAAACCCACAAAGTTTTACTACTGAATTCTGACTTATTTGGAATTAAATATTTCTGCTTTCCTTCTCTGCAAACACAGCAGCGCCCTCTGCTGTAAAAGAGCAAATCAGTCTTTAGCTTCATCTTTGGGGTTTGTGGTGTACCTTGTTGAGTTTTGAAGCAAGAGGGTCGGCAGCTTCCTTCCTCTGAGTGTTCCCCATCGCAGCCAGCAGACTGAGCTGGAACTGGTCCTCCTTAGAGGCCATCTCATTTTTGGCGGTCAGCTGCATGAAGGAGATGGGGTCGTCTGCTTGCACCGTCACGTTCCGTTTCTCAGATTCTTTCTGGGGTCAGAATCAGAAAAGTCAACACCTTTGCGGACATTTACAGTACAGGCCAAGTGTTGAGACACAAACTCATTCAAAATGAAAGGCTGAGAATGTGTACGGCCTATTAGCACATTCTACACATCCTTACTCCCAGAAAATCTATTTAATTTTCTAGCATAAAAATAAAAAAACAAATAATTACTACAACTAGTTCAAAAGAAGTAACAGGAACAGAAACTGAGATTAAAAATGTTTTGGTTCACTTCCTGTACGAGTGCATCAGCTGTCGTTACCTTCTGGGACAGTTTCTCCTCCTCCAGTCTGACGGTCAGCATGTGTGACAGGGATCTGCGACACTCCTTGTTGAATATGTCATTCATGAGTGGCGAGAGCTCTGACAGGACCTTCAGGCATAGCGAGATACGGTCCACATCATCGTCTGTTATCGGCTTCTTGGGCAGAGAGGACTTGCCCAGGTGCAGCACGGTGACCATTATCAGCATGGCCTCAGCGACGAATGACTGCAGAGGAGCGGGGATGAGAGGAATCAGCAGGGAGGTGGGGTTGAACGGGCCTTCGGTGAACTGAAGATGCTAACTTACATTTTGCCTCTTTTTTTCTGGTACGATTGAAACATAGCGCAGGGCCAGCTTGGTTAGTGTGGTGGCCAACGACGCTGCCACAAAGAAGTCTCCGTCCATCAGGAAGCCTCTGAGCGGAGGTCTACTCAGACAAAAATATGATCAGATTAAACTAAAAAAACTGTGCTAATAAAAAAAATCATGTTTAAATTGTAATTCTTACCTATCCTCCTCTTTCTTTGATGGTCTGGAGGAGCTGAGGGCGCTCTGCGTCACATAGGTGCCCATCTCTGTCACTAACTTCTGAGCTGGAGCAGCGCTCACTTCATCCTCTGGTTTCAGCTCGCCTGACTCCTTCTTGATCTCATTGTCCACTATCGGGATCTGTCCAGAAAGAGTCGAGTGTAAGATCATCCCAACCTTAAGAAAGGAACTGACCCGTTTATCATCCTGACCGCAGTGAATAGACGCACCTCTCCCAGAGACCTGCGCACTTCTGTCATCACACTCTGGATGTCCTCTTTGGTGCTGCAGTATTCTCCTAAGATCCAAAGTGCTCCTCGGTAAATCCTGACACATGGAAGTCGTCACAAAAGCCACAAACGTAAACATCTTGAAACTGCTCCTTGACTTTTTAAATCCAAATGTTTGAAAATCCAGCATACAGCATTTAACACAGCTGCAGATAGGGTTGGGCATCGTTTGATTTTGAACGATTCCGATTCTGATTCCAATTCCTCGTTTCGATTCCGGTTCCTATCGATTCCGATTATTTTCAAGACATGACATGTTTTACATGAGCCAGCTAACCACAGGTCCTACTTGATGAAATAATCTTAATTTCAACATGAATTTTAATTCTATGAACAACAACATCACCTTCATTTAGACAAAAACATGTTATGGAGAAAAAAAGAAAAAGACTTGCAGCACGACCAGTGTGTTTGTTTCTGACCACAACCAAATTCTGGAAGAAGTCTCTGGGATGAGAGGCTAAATGTCTCCAACATATCCAGAAACGTCCAGCTGCTTTCAGCTAAAACTCTCAGGATGATCATGTCCAGGATGACTGAGAACTACACCTCCATGCTGCAGCAGCATTCAGTCAGAACAGGAAGTGAAACTTAAATGTAGCTGCTGTCAGTAACAGTCTAACAGATTTTAAACATTAAAACTCTCAACAGAAATAGTTCAGAAATGAAATTAAAATGTTCAAAACTTTGTGTGTGATTTATTATTATTATTATTATTATTATTTATTGTGGCAGAAGCTGGTGTGGTCCACCACAGAGAAGCCGTTCTAGCATGATGACTTTAATAATTCTACAAGTTATTGTAAAGCCTTCTGACACACACACACACACGCACACACACACGCGCACACTCGCACGCGCACACGCACACGCACACACACACACACACACACACACACACACACACACGAGTGTTGGTGAGCAGCTGCGTCTGACTGCTGACGCTCCGTGTGTGTTTTTATTTCTGCAGTGAGACAAACTCACCTCACACCGTCCAGAGTTTGTTCTTTAAAGCTTCTATTAAATCCACCGTGTTGACGTATTTTAACAAGTTTCCTCTACGCTGCAGGAATTACGAGTTGTTCACGAGTGAGGGTAGGAGGGATCGGGAGATCGACAGGCGGATTGGTTCGGCGTCTGCAGTGATGTGGATGCTGAGCCGATCTGTCGTGGTGAAGAGGGAGCTGAGCCAGAAAGCCAGGCTCTCGATTTACCGGTCGATCTACGTCCCAATCCTCACCTATAGTCATGAGCTTTGGGTAATGACCGAAAGAACGAGATCGCGGATACAAGCGGACAAAATTAGTTTCCTTCGCATGGTGGCCGGGCTCAGCCTTAGAGATAGGGTGAGGAGCTCGGACATTCGGGAGGGACTCGGAGTAGAACCGCTGCTCCTTCAGATCGAAAGGAGCCAGTTAAGGTGGTTTGGGCATCTGGTCAGGATGCCTCCTGGACGCCTCCCTGGGGAGGTGTTTCGGGCATGTCCTGCCAGCAGGAGGCCCCCGGGTCGACCCAGGACACGTTGGAGAGGTTACATCTCCAATCTGGTCCGGGAACGCCTTGGGGTCCTGCCGGAGGAGCTGGTGGACAAGGCCGGGGAGAGGACGGTCTGGAGCTCCCTAGTGGGGATGCTGCCCCCGCGACCTGGACCAGTGGAGGAAGACGACGACGACAAGTAAAAGTTCGCCAGACGCGTTTGTTTATATATGGGTGGGGGAGAGGGGGGGACTCGGTGCTGCACACAGACAGCTGATGTGATCAGCTCTGAAAAGCGTTGATCACAATTTGCAGATCACGTTTATTTTTCCACGGAGAACGGCCGCGGATTCCTCTTCCGGTCGGCGTTCTAGGAATCGAAATAAAAAACTTTGAACGATTCCGGGAAAAACTAACAGTTGGTCCCGGTTCCAATCGATGCTCGATGCCCAACCCTAGCAGTAGATTCAGAGCAGTTGTGTGACTTTGGGTCACCTTCATTAAATCAAATAATAAATGTTGCAATTAAAGAATAATCCAGCATCTTAACTGAATTGCAGCATGAATCTAGAAAAAGAATCAGCGCTGTCTCAGAACAGCACTTGCTAAAAACAACAAACATGGATTTTGCTTGAATGGGCAGTTCGGTTCTGTTTAGCCTGCAGTTTTCCAATCCTTATTAACGAGCACTAATTTTGTAATGATTACTTACACACCAGTGGACTCTGACCTGCTTTTTAAAGATTTTAGACAAGAAGCAAAGATTCACACAGCCCTCTGTGCTGTAATCATAAACGTGCTTTTGAAATCTTACTTGACAGTTTTGATGGCGTGAAACACTTCCAGCATCTTCTCAATGATCAGGGGTCTCAAGTTGTCGAACCTCTGAATGGCTTCCCGTACAAACTCCAGCACGTCTGCAGCTGCTGCCTCATTAATGTCACTCAGGAATTCCATCAGCTTTAAATTAAACCCACACACACACACAAGTCTCAGCACCTGGGCGTCTGCTGGAGGACTAGAACAACTGAGGGCATTTTCTTTTGGGATGTTTTAAAACAACAAGAAACTCACCACAGGTATGACATTTGCCGCCATGTCGGGGAATCGAACGCTGCAGGAGTGGAGCGTGCGCACCAAGAGCTGCCTGTACTTATCGGTGTCTTCATGTTCCGTTACGTTGTTAGTCTTGATCACCTCTTTCTTTAAAACAATCACCAGCTGGAACGAAAACATATGCAGATTTTTTTTAACCGACAGGTTTATGATGGACTTTGTGGAACAACGCAGGAAACCAACGAATCAGCGTAGGACAAACCTCCTCGACGTTTCGAGATGAGACAAGATCCAGAGCCAGCTGCAGGGTTTTCTTTCTGACCTCTAGGTCAGGAGTGCTGAGGACACGCAGGATGTCCATCACCAGGTCCTAAATAAAGATAAAAGTAGTGACAACTAACGTTAGATTTAACCAACAACATATAGAATAGCTTTAGGAAGAGCCACTCATATTTCAGCACATTTGCTGTGGTCTAGTATGAATGTCTTGTAAGTCATTCTCTAGGGAAAAGAAGCTTCAGTGGGCCTGTTTGAAGAACTAGAAGTGAGCTAGATCAGAGTTGAGGTGAGCAAGACAGGATTTAGAGTCTTATTTCATGTCATATTTGGACATCTCGCCTCTGATTGGCTAACAGCAACACGACTCTACCACAGACTCAAGTTTGCTCAGCAACGTTGATGTTTTACCTCCACAAATTACACACGCCTGAAGGAGTTTTGCTGTGTGATGGAGTTTCTAATGCTAGCAGTTAGCTTCTACTAGTTGAGATGTTCTCTGATGTTTCCTGGACGCTAAACCAACAACAGCCTTCACCGTCTATTTTCTATCAGAGGCTAATGCAGGAGATAGGTGTAGAAGTAGGGTTGGGCACCGTGTTGAAATGTTTTTATATCGAATCCCAGTCCGCCGACCGGAAGAAGAATCTGCGGCCGAGCTCCGTTAAAAAAACCTGATCTGCTGATTCTGATCAATGCTTTTCAGAGCCGATCATACCACCTGCCTTTCGCTTCTACTTTTCAGCTCGTAGAGATCCTGAGTGCAGCATCGCATCCCCACCCTTCCTTCCCTCACACCCGGTACACGGCAGCAAAAATGTAAACAAACGCGCTTGCCAAGACTGATGAAGTGATGTTTAACTTAAGGTGATGTTATTGTTCGTAGAATTAAAAGATCACGTTGAAATTCAGATCATTTCGAGTAAGACCTACAATTAGCTGGCTCATTTCAAACATGTCGTTTTTGGATCCTGCCTCTTGAAAGAATCTATAGGAACCGGAATCGAAACGATGATTTGGAATCAGAACCCTATGTAGGAGACTATTTACATGTTTGGCCTGCATAAAAACTCAAGAGTGATGGATCAAAAATAATAAGTAAAAATTGGTTTGTCAGTGAAGCTCCAGTTGAAGTTATAATAGTTCTAGGGTTTATTATCAACACGTTTATGAAGTTTTTTAGACTAAACCTCTCTCACATAAAGCAATCTGAGCAGTTGTATTCCTGACAATTTCAGCAGTTTCAGAGCTCTGTCACTTTAAATAACAAGCGGGAGCTGGATACACCCAGTCAGGCTGCTAGAAGATAAGAAGCTCTGATATCCGGGAGGAGCTAAGAGTAGAGCCACCGCTGCTCCTCCAGCAGCAGCTCTACTCTTAGAAGTGAGACGTGATCTTCACTAAAGTCCCCAAACGTGTAGGGATGGGTACCTTTGACATTTGAATTGATCCGGTACTAATTCCCGGTACCTACGAATCGATACCGGTACTTAACGGTACCAATTTTCGATACTTTTGAGTGTTTAATATTTTTAATTCTCTTTTATAATTAAATATATATTTTTCTCAACATATAACCATATTTGATAAATATCACGATAAATAACATACAACTGTTTGTATTTTAACATCGTCCTTGTAGTTTTATAAGCTGATAATTAAACTGAAGCAAACATCTTTACTGTGAACTAAATTTACTGTGTATCTTCATTCCTTTTGCCGTCCTTTTTCATTTGATTTTTCCTACTGGGAAGTTAGAATTTCCGAGGAGAAAGCGAATGCACCATTAGCTGATAATAATAGTGGCATAGGAAGCTAACATATCAAGCTAACGTTATCTTAAACAGTGTATTTAACTGCTGGAGCAGATTAAAACGATGATGCCTCACACTTAGATCGTTGTTGCTGGTTTCATCTTCACCCAATCACCCGTCGCATTTAGTAAAGTGAAGCCAAACTTTAGAGCGCGTTCATGTTCTTCTAGTCAGAAATTCGGAGTTCCGAGGAGAAAGTGAACGCACCATTAGCGAAACGGAAGCTAACATATCAAGCTAACGTTATCTTAAACATTTTATTTACCTACCGGAGCAGATTAAGATGAGGATGTCTCACTTAGATCGTTGTCGCTGGTTTCATCATCACCCAGTTACCCATCACATTTAGTGAAGTGGACCCAAGCTTTAGCGTGCATTCTTTCTATCATACTGCTCTGTTTACAACTGGCTCGCAGGGACCGACGACATAACGCTCTTGCGCATGCGCAGCTGTCTAGGCAAGTTCTCGTTAGGAAGGACGGGTACCGAAACGAGGCACCGTTTGAAACGACGTGAATCGGTGCTCGGTCGGTACTATGGAATTCGGTCGGTACCTTAAAAAGTACCGAATTCGGTACCCATCACTACAAACGTGACATCACAAACAGGAACTTTTAGAAACGGCTTGTTATAGTTTTTGGCCAAGTACTGACTGAAAAATAGATGGATGCTTTTTTTTTAATGTTTGGAGTGTTTATAGAGGCAGTAGACCCACATGACGGCGTAAAAGGATGCAAACGGTGAGCTTTGCATAACATGTCACCTTTAGTTCAACTTTTGGACAGAAGTAAACTTTTTAAAAGTATTTCAATACATTTAAGAATATCAAACTAAATAATATGTAAAAAAAAAAAAAAGACAGTGAAAATGTTTGAAAAACAAAGCAACACAAAAACTAAACACCTGTAACTGAACCCACCTGAAGCACACGCTCATGAGTGGGATGCTCCTTCAGTTCAATCAGACGATCGAGAACAATCAGCTTCACGTTGTTGTCGCTCTCTTTAATAATTAAATCGATGTAACACTGCGCTGCAGCCTGGAGTCCCCCCCCCCCAACAAAACCACAGAATTCATTAAAGCAGAGGAATGGCTGACTTACTCAAAAGCAGTGCAACATCAGTATCACCGGCTTATGATGCACATGAAAACCACAAATCAAATTGTGAAGCTGTACCTTGATGGCGGTGGGAGCGCTGGACAGGGTCACAAGAGTACCAGCAGCCTCATATTTAACAGCTGGACTTGAGGACTGAAGCAGGTTATAGATGCAACGAATAAATCGAGCACGCTCCGAGGGGTTAGCGTGGCAAACCTAGACAAAGAGCACAAGAACTCAAATGTTAAATCTGTTTGCTACTTTGCCCTAAAGGCCTGACTTAGTCTAGTAAAATGCCCACTCACCTTGTAAATCAGCTCAACGATGACGAGCTGCAAGATGTCACCAAAAGTGTGAACCTGGTCAATGCATGTGCTGAGGTAATCCAGAGCTCGATCCTGTGGGGGGGTTACACAGTTGAGCTAACAATTCGTTAGACGGATGTTATAAGGACTAAGGGAGGAGAATCTATTTTTAAATGCACCGTGAAGCAGATGTAAACGTTTCTGAATAAAAATCTAGATTCAGTAATAATAGTTTCATAACTGCGTTACAACCCTCTGAGTCCTGATTGAACCAAATCACGACAGGCCTAAAAACTCCCACCCCTAAAGCTCAGTGGTCCACCAACCTGATCTGCATGAATCAGCATCATGAAGGCGTTTCTCTTACAGCTGGCGTCCTTCTCATTCACGAGGAAATCATGAATCAATTCTGGAGCGTCTGGGATGAGATGCTCAAAGTTCCTAAAATAAAAAAGCTGTATATTGATCTGCACTGGCAGAAGATTACAAGACAGGAAAATATCGGTACCTGTAGATGGTGTAGATGGCCAGGACTGCATTTCTGCGCACGTAGCTGTGACGGTGCTCCAGGCAGGCCCGGATCGCTGGCATGAGAGGCTCAAGTAGCTCAGACTCCTTCAGCTTGCACAGGAAACGCAGAGTGGAGCCGCGGATGAACTCATTGGGATGCTGAAGGTCCTAAAATAAAAAAAGAAACGATTATTGCAATCTTGTTTTAATAAGAGTACTGAGAACAAACGTATCATTTTAGCTGTTCAGCTATTATTCCAGCTGAAAATGATGTGGAAAATAAAAACAATTCCCCAGCTTACCTTCCTGTAAGCATCACAGACAAGAATCATCTCCTGAAGCAGCTTGCCATCTGGAGTCGTCTTAGGAACAATCTCCCAGAAAACAAGGAGAAGCTTCTTGATGGTGTGGTCTTGAAGTGGCAGCACGAAGCGAATTATAGTCATGAGCAGTCCAGGCAACTTCTCACCGTTCAAGATCATGATTATGACCTTCTTCAGGGCTTCGGTCTTTGCTTTGATCTCTCCCTTTTCTGGAAGACATTAGAATTATGTCAAAACATTTCATTTGTTCAAATCTCTACCTGACGACACCTGCCTTCAGCTAACATTTTACATGAAGACGAGTTTTAAAATGTTTTGAATAGATCCAATCTTTGATCCCAGTTAAATTATTACTTTATACACAATCAGAAATTATTACAAAAGTTTACATCTTTACTACAGTTAACAAGGAAATCGTTTTGTAAAATCTCAAGAAGAAATTTTACCCAGATCTGTTTTTAAGCTGACTTCAGAAGGAGGCTCAGAGTCCGACTGAACATTGATCAGTGTGTAACAAACGTTTTCTGCAGCCGTCATTTTTGCTGCCTGTTGGACGGGGTGGATTTAGAAGAATCCCAGTAAAGTTCCCTTCAGTGTAATACCTGCAAATATGGAAAATAAATGTTAAAAAATGGCTGATAAAACAAATGCTGAATGACAAAAGATGTTGGAAATAAGTATAAAGACATCTACACAGAGGCTGGAAACAACGTGAGGAAACAAAAACACATCACATTCGTCACATTTAAACAAATCAATAAGAGAAGCAATCACTTTGAAGTTAAAGGTGCAGTATGTAAGAATATAGTGAGAATTTTGCAGTGAGAAAATCCCAAAAGAGTTTAAAGTTTCAGTGATTTTGGACGGAAGGTTATACTGAAACATGTTTCATATCCAGCTGGCTGCAGGAATTGTCAGTTTTCCTCCTTTCAAAACAAAGGAAGGAGGGACGTTACTACTGTTTACTAGTAATGCACCGATATGACATTTTTGGGCCAATACCAATATCAAGATCACTGTTCTGGCCAAAAACCAATATTTGCAGATACCGACACACTGACATCAATGCTTCTAAAATCAGCAGATTTTGTATAGAATGAAAATTATTAAAGCTGAATTTAGGTTATTATGAACACACAACACACACATTTACACTTCCGAGATGATTTCATTCACAGTTCACATGACTAAACAATCACACATCACCCCCCTCACCCTCTGAAACAGGCAAACAAATGGAGACAAGATGGAAAAAATATTGGTTGATAATATTGGCCCGTTTTTTCTTTTTTTTAATCGGACTGATACGATATGTTAAAAATGACTAACATCGGCCGATACCGATATCAATACATTGTCCATCCCTACTGTTTACCATCAGTGAGTGTGGGGTTGCTGTGTCTCCTGCGAGCTAATACTGCAGCGCCGACAATTATAATTTGACGACGGCCGGCAAAAAGCTCCAGAGTTGTTTTAAGTGGTTTCAGTAACCAAATTTTACTACACTTAATTTCTATATAATGCACCTTTAAAAAAGTATAAAACTCCTCAGTTAACTTTTTTCATTGTTTCTGCAAGAAACCTAATGAACAAAAAAGACTAACACATTGAATTAAATCAATAGCCTTCATTAAAATTGGTGTAGCAATTGGCCAGGCTGCTTTATTTGGAGGGTTGCTGGTTCAATGCTAAATCTATCTAACTGAGAGGTTTATATTAGAAATATACAACTTGAGGTGGTGCAATTTATGTTTTCATCTTGATCAAGACTTCATTCACAAACCTTGATTTTCACACATTGACTGTTGCCTTTAAGTTTTAAATTTCTGCTAAACAGTCGATGAGAGAGTTTAAACATTTTCGCTGTAGTGATCAAACTGGCAATGACAAAACCTACAGCTGTAAAAAGATGAGAAATTTAAAGTTTGTTACAGGGCACCTGTCATCGCTGTAGTTACACAGGTAGATGCTATTTTTTATGATCATATGCCTCTTACCACATGATTTAAACACTTAATTTTGACAGTAGTTTTGTAACAAATAACGATAATTAAGCAGCTGTTACAGCTATAGCGAAATAAGCTAGTACGTAGCTAAGCACAAATGTCATCGCCTTTGCGTTGAATGTCTAAACGTAGATGGGCGGCACATGACAGAATTGTAAAAAAAAAATAATAAAAAAAATCTAGTTTTGTCGTCTACACGGCTGATAATGAAATAAAATGGGAAGCTAAACGGCCACCGTTAGCCAACAGTAGCTTTAGCTTTCATCCAGGTTTGCAATGAAATGGAGGACGTTTGATAGTTGCTAACGCTGGTAGCAAAAACTGGATAAATCCACTCACGTTAGAAAATAATATGCTCCAGGACTTACCTAAAACACGGCTTTTATCCCAAACGGTCGCCTTCAATTCCCAACTTCAAATATTAGCATGAGTAAAAGAACTAGAAGAGCTCCTGGTGTTAGGGCTACCCCGTCGGCTCTCGGGTACTTCCTAGTGACGTGGAAGACTGCTCACTGAGCCACATCACTGCTACGGTGCGCCGGAAGGCTCAAACGCGCGAAAAAAAGGACAAAATCCCACATTTTACAGACATGCATATTTTCTTTTTAAAATAATTCGATTTTTTTTACTTAAAATGTTGTCGAAAACCTGTAACTTATTCACTTGCTCAGACTTTAATCAAACACGATTTTTTATAATGCAAAAGCACACAATAAAAACACAAGTATAAAAGTAGAGAAATTGAGTATTAATGCACCCTTTCAGTGAGAGAAAAGTCAGTTTCAACGTGTCTAGATGTATATGATTGGTGATTGTTTTGCTGTTAAATGCAAACAAATGACACTAAAACTATGGGCTGTATTTAAAACGGATTTAAAATTTCTATGTATATCAAATTTCATTTTTAACACAAATTCTGAGCATGAAATGTGATCACAGCAGTTGATAAAGGATACTTGCCATAAAAACATAAAAAAGCCGAAATATCTAAAAAATTAATAAATATAGTACTGCTAGAAGAGTTAACATTAGTAAAGATTTATACTTTACATATTACATCGATTTCCTCCTCGTGGTAAAAAAAATTCCAGTTCAGAATTTTTTTTGTTTGTTTGTTTGTTTTGCGATGTTTCTTCTGTAGCCTATAATTAAACATTTAAACACTTCTGCCAGAAAGGAACCCAACTGAATAAAGTGGCGTGCAGCGCCCTCCGGTGGAAACTAAGCTGAGTGACAACGTGGGTGCACAGAAAATTGAATGAATGAAACCGACTCCAAATTTTCAATGAAACACCTCAAAGGGTGCGGGTTGAATAGGTTTGCCAATATGTCGACAGTTACCAAAACATTTCTTTGTTGACCAAACTTAGAAGTCCAGTATATACACAAAACTACAATAAAAAAGTAGCTCTGGCTGATTTTTGCAGAATGAATTAAAAACAAAAAGGAAGAAAATAACTTAAAGATAGAAAATATTTTAAATCAGAGTTTTTTTTAACCCTCTGAGTTTTATGAAATGGTACCCAAACCTATGCATGAGGTGTTGAAGTGGTATCAAGATTACAAGCCTTTAACACTGACTGATTATTTTGTTTAACACATTTAACCACAGAGCAATCTCAGTTTACATCGTGTTCAAATGGCCAGACTGCTTTGCGTCATTAGTTCTTTGACCTTTTAGCAGACATTTAGTTGTTGCAGGAACAGGTGCAGCTAATGACATTAGAGCAGCCTCTTCTTGACCAGTGGGCCGTGTGCACAATGCAGGGTCTGACTGAATGGAATTATGTGCTGTCGTTATTAATTTTATAAACAGCAAATACACATTTCCTGCTATCTTGTGTTAAAAAGTCTGGTGAGGTAATCAAACAGCTGACTTTGACAAATCTGTTGTCTACACACACTCACACACACACACACACACACACACACACACACACACACACACACACACACACACACACACACACACACACACACACACACACACACACACACACACACACACACACACACACACACACACACATATCTATAAAATTGTATTTATTTTTTTGTGGCAAGAAGGAAATTAAATGAGTTAGTTGCACTGTCACTAGCTGGGTTTAGCACTTTGACTCCACACAACCATTGTGTTTAACAGTTACATAAATTCAATTGAAATTGTGCAATTAGTGACACAATAACGTAAAGACTGTTAGTTTCAATGTTACTGCCAATAACCGCCACAGTATGTTTTATTTTGAAATATCTACAGGAAGCACTAATAAGTTATGTCTGTTCAGATTTATGAGCTTTAACAACTTGTGTCCACTAGAGGGCGGAAAAAAAATCCATATTCTCAAAAGCCAGAAACTGAAGGATTGAGTTCTCGTGCTTTCATCCAGTTGACATAAATAAAACAGATATATAGACAGTACATGTCCATCAATCAAATCAAATGAAAGATTACAAGTAATTAAATTAAAAGTTTATTTAGACAAAATACAGTAAAAATATATTGTCTTACTGGTTACTTTTATTTTATTTATTTGAGTTGTTCACACATTAATTTATTAAACGTAAAATCCCTGTAAGTCTAGCGTGGATTCAGTTCAGCCCTTTGGCCGCCAGAGGGCGTATGATCGGAAATGTACGTTGAGCTGAAGGTTAATGTCATAGCTCATCGATTTAATCTTGTTAAACACAGATAATTTAAATAGATGTAAAGAGTTTTAGTAGTTAAGGTATAAGTGAAAACATTTTAGCTTCCCGTCATACTGAATATGCAGGTGACGATATTTTAAAATGAGTAATTTTTCAGTGGTATGTTCCATTTTGGAGTAATTTACAGGAAGCACTAATACGTTCCGTCTTGTTTAGATTTATGAATGCTGTAGTAACAGTACCTTGGTAACACCCTTCCTCAATAGGAGTCATAACGTGAAAAGATTTAACGTGCAAAACAATCATTTTAACTTTTAAGCACATGCAAAACTCTAGTATTGTACGAGTTTTTCTGCTGTGACTGGCTGAAAAGTTTACAGGTTCTCACGTGCGTGCGTGGGTTTAATCCGGGTCTTCTGAGTTCATCCCACAGTCCAATAAACGCGCATGTCAATAAACTCGGTGGGTCAAATGCATGGTTGCACGTATTTGTGTTGCACAAACATTCTCGTAAAATAACCACAGAGTTGAGTTTCGTCACATAAAACAGATCAAGCGTGATGACAAAAAAAAAAAAAAACGGCAATAAACTGGAATTCCTGGCAGTGATTTTGCTTGTTAAACAAGTCCGTCTTCCTTTACATCCTTAAATCGGCAATCGTTCACTTTTCCAGTGGCCAGTCAGGAAAACCAAACAATCCCCGAGCAGATGGAGACACCTGAAAGAGTTTTGAGAAGCGGCGTTAGTGAGGCTGGACAAAAATAGTTTTTTATTAGAATAAAAACGAATTTAACTATGTAGTTGTTAAAAATCAGATTATTACAGTTTATTGTACATATTGCTTTGCATTGTAGCAGCAGCAGCAACAGCAACAACAATAAAATTGAAAGTTATGTCTTAAGTTAATAACTTATTTATGATTAGGCCTATCGTATTCCAAATCGATTATTTGGTTAGGGTTAGAATTGTATTACAATTTGCAACTCTCAAAGGCCTATTAGCATCCAGATAGATCCGATCTAATACAAAAGCTCCTAAAATAACATGCAAAATATTATTTTTATTTTATATACATTTATTCTCTAAAAGCACACAAAGCTAAACATTAATAGCTAATAGAAAGGGATAATTACAAACTGATTACTAGTCGCGCGCTCCTGCTCGGATCCCCCCGGGCGGAGTTGTGGCCGGTAGGCGGCGACAGAGAGCTCTCTTTCCGTAAAAACAACATCTCACCTTCTTTCTTCAGTCCAAGTGCTGGAACACGTTTGAGTGACCATGGAGTACGTTTGCTGTTATGTAGTTCAGCGTTAATACGCCGTGAATAGTTGGAGAGGGGGGGCTTTCGTGAGGAAACGAGAAGCCAGACCCGAGCCATGGCTTCGCGGGAGGACGGAGAGCCCTCACACGGAAAAACAAGGCACCACGACGGAGCTGGAAGTGTAAACAGCTCAGAGGGCTTCAGGAACGGCTATGTCAAGAGCTGCGTCACCCCCCTGAAACAGGACCATCAGAGAGGATTTTTATTCGGCGTGTGCCGGTTTTGCAACGAAGACGTCCTCAATTCCAAAGTGTTAAAGGTCTCTGCCCTATACGTGGGCGCCTTTGTTGTTTTCGCGGTGTCTTTTCTCATTTCCAGGAGCTTGCAAAGTGACTCGCCATGGGATTTGCGGACTTTTCTGTCGGGCTTCTCCCAGTCCGTGAGCCCTCTGTTCAGCATAGGATGCGCTTTCTTCTTTCTGACGTTTTACCTGAGGAGGAAGAAGAAGCAGAGCAGCAAGTCGTGGCTCCTGTCACTGCCAGCATCGTGCTACCTCGGGGATTTTCTGGTTTTGCGGTTCCTGCAGTGGGGAGAGGACCAGCACCAGATGCAAATGGTGGGCAGGTTGTTATTCGTGTTGGGATGTGTGGGTCTGCTCACGCTGATCCCCACGCTGAAACTCAAACACAGCGTGCTCGTGCTGGTTTTCGCCAGCCTCGTGTGGCTGGTGTCCCTCACAAGTTTGAGCGGTCTGCCCGCACTGCTCAGACCGCTCTTCGCCTGCTTTGCGGGGGTTTCTGGCTCCCTGTTCGGGATCTGCTTTGACCGCAACTACCAGACGAGGGAAGCACCGAGCGGGGTTTCCAGCACGGAGGATAAGGTGCCTGTGATCAGACCGAGGAGACGCTCCAGTTGCGTTTCACTCGGGGAAACATCGACCAGCTATTATGGCAGTTGTAAAATGCCCCGGAGACCTTCATTGCCCTGCATATCTAGAGAGCAGGTAGGTCATCCTCCTCCCCGAACCCCTGCAGGACCACGTCTGCTGCTGTTGATGCAAAAATAGGCCCAGATAATCCGCAGCTGCACACGTGCATGCGTGGAAAGCACCCAATGTCATTTCAAAAGCAGGCCAAACTGTAACCCCAGAAAAAGTTGTCTCTCAACACCATCAAACTATAAATATTTATAAAAAGTTAGAAATAAAAATCTTAGCACACAAGTTAAGGAACGTGTCTGTCACTAGGTGCAACTTTGTTGTTATTAATAAGGTTTTCTACATTCTAAACAAGGGTTTTGCTCCAATTTAAACAAAAATAAAACAGTTACTAAGTGTGACCAACATGGTATAAAATATTTTAGAAGAAAAAAGTGCCAGTGATGTTCCAGATGCACCAATTTAGGTTTTCAGGGCCGATTTCCAATTTTTGTAAATCTGACGGGTTTAATCGTATTTAAGTTTTGAAATTAGATTTTAAAAAAAGTTATTGTGACTTTGAAGTCAGTTGTTGCTAGTTTGAATTAGCATTTGGTTCATAAACCAAAAAAAGTCTTATCCAGAGTTTCAGAATGGTTGAGGACCAATTCGTTTTTGTGAACATCTCTACATTGCCCCCAGTTGCTTTTTCATAGAAAAGCTTAATTTTATTTTTCCAATGGGCTTTTGATATACACTTTTAAAATTGTGTGTTAATACTTTGACCAATATGAGACCTGTTTTTGAGTACTAAAATGAAATGGAAAACCCAATACAGTTACTTTTATAAAACAAACGTGGCCCACAAAGATGTTTGGTGTCCTTCAAAGGTCTGAGCATCTTCAGCCTGGGGTATCTGGTTAATAGGGATGCACGTTATATTAGCATCAATATCAATATTGGAGTTATTTTTAGGGATGGACAATATATTGGCATCAATATCGGTATCGACCGATGTTAGTCATTTTTTAACATAGCGGTATTGGTTCGATAAATAAAACTGGGCAAGTATTAACAACCGATATTTTTTCCTTGTCTCCATTTGTTTATCTGTTTCAGAGGGTGACTGATGTGTATTAGTTTAGTCATGTGATAGTGATTGTAATAATTTCAGAAGCCTAAATGTGTGTGGTAGGGCTGGGCAAAAATCGAAAATTTATCGTCATCAAAATTTCTGACTCTTCTCGAGATAATTTTTCCCATGTCAACAAATTTGATAATAAAAAAAGAAACAATGTGTGTGTAGGTTGGCAACGTTCATGTCCCTTTAAGAAACTGTACCACCTTGAGTTACGTAAAAATGTGACTCATCGTAATACATGTGACAGCCCCATCTAGTGGACACCATTTGTTTCTGTAGTTTTCGTCCATTTATCATTATCGAGGTGAAATCCTCACTATATCGTGGTATTGATTTTAGGCCATATCGCCCAGCCCTAGTGTATGTACATAATAACGTAACTTCAGCTTTAATGATTTTCATTTTATACAAAGTCTGCTGATTTTAGAAGCATTAATGTCAGTATATCAGTATCTGCAAATATCGTTTATCGGCCAAAACAACGATCTTAATATCGGTATCGGCCCAAAAATTTCATATCGGTGCCTCACTACTTATTTTTTTAACATATTGGTATTGGTCCAATTGGTAAAACTGGACCGATATTAACAACTGATATTTTATCCATCTTGTTTCAGTTTGTGTATCTGTTTCAGAGGGTGGCAGGGTGATGATGTGTAGTTGTTCAGCTGTGATAGTGACGGTAATCATCTCAGAATTGTAAATGTGTGTGGTTTATGAATGTATTAACACACACACACACATATAAAATCTAGTTTGCACATTATAGAAATAAAGCAAGACATTCAAAACTTCAGCTTGGATGATTTTCAGTCTATAAAAAATCTGCTGATTTCAGAAGCATAAATAGCATGTGTATATCGGTATCGGCAAATATCGGTTACTGTGCATAACAGCGTCATTAATATCAGTATTGGCCCAGAATTTCATGTCGGTGCATCCCTAGTTAAATACAAAAATCTATAATCTTTACATGTGTACATCTGTAAGAAAATAACATGTAGCGTATTGGATGTGGCCACATATTTGTTAAATGATCAATAAGACGTGATATTCCATATAAATACGAATTATCAATCTGATTGGTCTTTGAATATTTGATTTAATATTACTTTTAAAACTCCACTAGTCCAAGTTTAGACATCCGCTTTTTTGTTTTGTTGTCATAAACCTATATAAAACAAAAACTCTTGACTTGTCATTCTTTGTACGGTTGGATGAGATCTAAATGCAAGCAGGGTCTCATTGATTATATCTTGTAAGAAGTGTGTATGGCAGATAATCAGTGAGCCGGCAGGGCCCGTCTACATCCTGTTAGCGGAATAGCAACACAACACCACAGAACAGCCAGTGATGTGGCCTCCAGCTGAGTGCAGCGGTCGACAACACCAAAGTGATAGTGATCAGTCGCAACGGTCCACAACAGAGCACTCATTTTCATCTCTGCTGTGTAACAGAAACTTGTACACACGGCGCAACAATGGATGCAGTAACTACGTCCGTAATCCAACCAGGATGCTGCAGTGTGGCACTTTTTTCAACTTTCTGTGAATCTGGAAGGTGCACATTTGTTGTATGCGATATGTTTTGGCCTAAAAGCTCACAGCACACAAGCTCCTGCCCTCATGTATGTGGAGACATTACTGTCAAAAACGCTATTCTGCAGTGGATGCCAGGCCAGCAGGTCATGCACTTTGTTTTTATGCCCTTCTAGTGAAATGATAAGAGAACTAAAAATATGCATTAGGTGGTCTCGGTGGCACGGTTTCCTGCAGCTGTTTTGTTTTTTTGTGAAGTTAGCACTTACGTATTATTAGCATCAAACAGAGCATAGAAGTGAAATTATAGGAATATTTAAAGAATTTTTAATGAGCTTGACCTTTTTCAACTACAATTGTTAACTGTTTGATCTAAGAGATGCAAGACTGCAATCGTAGAATTTGTGTTAAAATTAAAAGCATTTTTAAGTCGTCGTTTTTTTTGTAACTTTAGTGCCGAAGCCCCCCCCCCCAACCCTTCACGTGTTACTCTGCCAGCGTCTTAGGTATTTAAAGCATGTACTTCTCAGACGTTCCTACACTTGATCATTTAAAGCAGATAGTTGAAACAAGACTTAACAAATCGTGCGGTTTTGTCAGTAATCCAAACAATCCGGCTTTCGAGCTGTTGATGAGCACCAACACTTTGACACTTTCCTGCCTTTTCTTCTGGTTAAAGTTCACTCAACTTTTCAACTATTAGTAAAAAATGTGTTTGTGTGCAAATTCTTCAAAATTTGACATTAATTACCCGTTTATGAATGAGGGCATTTTCAGATACGTATTAGCAGTGTGACGTTGTAACTTTATACCAAAAGTATGAAGAAAAAGTCACAGATGATTCAGTGTTGCAAGAAGTTTTGAATCCGAGCTCAAATGTTGGTCATTTCCTGTTCAATAAAAAGATAAATAAAAAAATATAGCAAGAAAAGACGAAAACCAAACCTGAGCATGACAGCATATTGGCTACTTTCGCAACGTTTTGTTACATTGTTTGATTTAGTGGGAGTTTTAAATGAAAATGGACAGATTTTGTGTCAGAGGCAGGCGAAGGAAGCCACAAAGAGACAATTTGAAAGGAGTCACTCAGGGTTCACTGGTGATGTCGAACATGTTCTTCATCTTCGCACATGTTTTGCACACAAAACAGCCCCCCCCCCCCCTCCTATTTTCCCAGTTTGACAGGGTCACTGGTTTCTGTCTTTCACTTACAAAAACAGGGGAATTGTTTTGTTAGCAGCAGCAGCACATTTTTTCTTTCTTTTTAGCAAGAGTTCATCAAGTGATTGTTTTGGATTTATGACCATATTTACACAACAGAACATGGATGTTTACTTCAGAATAACATAAATATAGAAAAAATTTTGCTTTTTAAACAACTAAAGCATAATACATAAAATCTGTGTCACATATTCCAGACTACCCCTGTTTTTTTGACCTTTTTTACCTTTTTGGTTTTGTTGAGTAGTTTATTTAAAGGGACAACAACAAATGGACTTTTATTCCTCGTGTACTTACATACTTTAAGTTGTAAATTGGATTTAGGCAGAAGCCTTTAAAGCTGCAATGGCAAAATTGGAAAACAAATGAGCTTAGAAATTTTCTTTGTGCCTCTTAACAACGTTCTAACATAGTTTAGCTATAAATATATTGTGGAGATAAAAAAACTGAAAAAAATAATTAATTGGTTCTCTCGCATTTGTCTAAAAACTTCCACTAATAATAATAATAAGACGATCTTTTACATAGCACCTCTCAAGATAAAAACCATGAGGCGCTTCACAAAAAAAAAAAAAAGTATAAACATTTTTCTAAAATGATTAAAAATATGTTTAAAAGGAGAAAAGAACAAAAAAAAAAGGTAAGACGTTCCTGGGTCCTACATTCATTACGCACTCACGCATTTAGCAGAAGAACACCACTGGTGTGAGAGGTTCACGGCTCGGTAATATCAAAGAAGGAGAAACAGCTGGCTGCTACCTCTTCAAATGTAGGACAAACTACCAGAGTCCCAAAAAGAAAAGCATCATTTGAATTCACGGACAACAAAAGATGTTTGGACGTTGAAAATGGTGACTGGTGTTTCGCACAATCTTCCACTGGCAACACAAGTGTCCAGTTTTGGCAGAAGTGTCTCAGGCAATCTGCTCGAGGGGAGGGGTGAGTGTTCCGTTTGCATTCAAAACCCAGATTCGTTATAACAGCTTTAGCACAGCTCTGTTGTTGGGTAGCTTTCGTATCCTTGCAACAGTGGGCAAATCTTAACCTTCATTTCCGAGGAAGTTTATGTTTGTGTTTACAAAATGTTTAGCACATTATATGTTTTATTAAAAGTGACGAGCCGTTAGATTATTCATAGCTAAGATCTGTAGTTATTTTTGTCTGACGGCACCATCTAGTGGCTGACA